TGGCTCCAAGGTATTTTTGAACTGTAGTTTCCATTACACAATCAGAATTGTCATATAGCTAATGCAAATATACTGTAGATTCAATTCAGTTCAATTCAGTTCTCACCATTAACTCAGTGCTGATAGAAATGTGGCAGCAGCAATATCTGTAGGGCTACACTTTTCCCCACTACTGCCCTAGACCATGAAAGATGATTGACTGACTAATTGATTGATACCCTGCTTTTCTCTCAAATGAATGTCAAGGTGCTTTGGAGGATTTTGTGATGTTCCACTGCAGCCCAAGAAGGTTTCTGTGTAAGCTGTTTTTTTATTGTTTGTTACCCTTGATGTGGGCATGGCAACGGCTCTTCATCAAAGGCTGGGCAACACTGCTTTTTTCACTAGTCGTATAAATGTTCCTTAGTTGATGGAGAAAGCATTAAAAAATTGCAAACATTATTTGATGGAGAATGCATGAAAATACATACATTTGAAACAGGGGCACAGAAATCTGTCCATTTCAGGAAATGACCATGGACATACATCAGAATTTCTGCACAGGGCAGACTAGCACGGGCCAGATTCAAAAACAGATTTTCGGATGCAGAGTGAAGATCCTTGTCAAGGACAAAACAAAATCCCCTACCAGAAGTTTTCCAAGGGCTCATCAAGACAGGAGAAATTTTACGTCCTCATTCTTCTCCTTGTTATTTAATGGTCACTAGTGCCCAAATTTCTGTCTTAAAACATACGTCTCCGACAGTAGATTCTCCTTTGGAAATCCCTTCAAATCCCCCCCCCCCCACCCCAGTTCTCTTTCTCCCTTCCCGGTTTTGTATGTGTGTGTTTAGCCAATTGGAAACCAGTTGAAAATACCACTGATGTCAATTAGTTAAATACATTTCGGAGAAGCAAGTGTTCTCTGTGTGAGCAGCCTTGTGATGCTTGTCCTTATGGGCTTCCTCTTACCTTGACACTGAGATACTCCTGGAGTACAAAGCAGTCAAGTCACATTCTCCTGCTACACACTCTTGTACCTTCCACTTGTACCATTTTCACTTCATATTGTAAGGCAGGTCAGCAAAACAATCCACTTTTTTGCTTCTTGTTTATTACAAATCAATGCTTCCATTTTACAGTAAAAAAATTAAAAAATAAATATATGTATATATACATTTTTATAGCTAAACATTTGGTTTGCTACATATAAAATATGCACACAAATATGGATGCAGGAGCTTCGCAAATAAAGGAATAAATCCAACATTTTTTACAGAGCTCAGAAACTTATATTTTAAAAGGATCTTCTTGTGTTACTCCTTATTTCTCTAGAGCAAGGTTGTTATTATCTTTTGCTCCAATTGCACAAGTAATTAATTGCATTGCACATTATTCTTGCTTTGTCATTACCAGCAGGCTAGAGAAATGTAGAGGAATACACCACAGATCTCTCTGATGGCCTGTTCTTATATTGCACCTTGAAAATATTTTATTTTAAAAAAGATTAAAATAAACCTTAGCTCCCTATCCACTTAGGATTAATGAGGGAAAGGCATAAGCCCCCATCAACATGTTAGTAAAACTAACTTTTGAAAGTAACTAAACGTCATTTGTTAAATATTACATCTAAAAGGTTATATTGTAACTTTCAGATGAAGTACTCATACCCCGAAAATAGTTCCTTGCAGTCATTGGTTAGGACCTGCTAGAACTGGGGACTAACCAGTTTCCCCAGTACTGACTCACTGGGGCTCCATTTTGCAGCCTGGTACACAGGTATATGGCAAATACTATGGCAGGTGCCAGGGACGTGGTGGCGCTGTGGGCTAAACCGCAGAAGCCTGTGCTGCAGGGTGAGAAGACCAAGCAGTCGTAAGATCGAATCCACGCGACGGAGTGAGCGCCCGTTGCTTGTCCCAGCTCCCGCCAACCTAGCGGTTCGAAAGCATGCAAATGCAAGTAGATAAATAGGGACCATCTCGGTGGGAAGGTTACCCCGAAAATAGTTCCTTCCAGTCATTGGTTAGGACCTGGTAGAACTGGGAACTAACCAGTTTCCCCAGTACTGACTCACTGGGGCTCCATTTTGCAGCCTGGTACACAGATATATGGCAAATACTATGGCAGGTGCCATATTCCTCGAGCTACAAATCCGTTCTCATCTTAGATGCAGTTGCATTCTGATTTTATGATACATTGTTCAAGAGGTTTACCTCCCATAAAAAATATTGAAGAATGGTTTTAAAGGGAATAATTTGCTCCTTAGGAGATTACAACAGACCGATCTGAATGTCTGAACACTGAGAGCAAGGCTTTAAACCAGGGGTGGGCAAAATCTAGCCTTTTTGATGCTTGCTGAACTGCAAATTCTGGTATTCCTCACTGTCAGTTATGCCAGCTTGAGCTGATGGAAACTGTAGTCCAAAAACATCTGGACAACCAAAAACATCTGGACAGCCTAGTTCTGCCTCAAGCCATCATCATCATCATGGGTGCCATATTCTCATCTTAGATGCAGTCGCATTCTGATTTTATGATACATTGTTCAAGAGGTTTACCTCCCATAAAAAATATTGAAGAATGGTTTTAAAGGGAATAATTTGCTCCTTAGGAGATTACAACAGACCGATCTGAATGTCTGAACACTGAGAGCAAGGCTTTAAACCAGGGGTGGGCAAAATCTAGCCTTTTTGATGCTTGCTGAACTGCAAATTCTGGTATTCCTCACTGTCAGTTATGCCAGCTTGAGCTGATGGAAACTGTAGTCCAAAAACATCTGGACAACCAAAAACATCTGGACAGCCTAGTTCTGCCTCAAGCCATCATCATCATCATGATCCAACCAATCCAAACATGGATTTATCGGGAGGACTGATGCATCTGTAGGAACTAGATCTGGTTTTGTTCTCAGTGCTTTGTAACAGAAGCTACAACAAATGAGACAAATGAGTAAAGGGTCCTGTGCTTTAGGTATAGAAGAAATTTACATGAGAGCTGAACTGATTTCTTCCCAGAAGATTGATAAAATGCAATAATAATTTTTGCCATAGGATAGGAGAAATTGGGCTTTAGACATACATTGTTCCAAATGTTTCCGCCTAATATAGAGGTGGATAACTTGTGCTCCTCCAGATGCAGGAGCCTCCAGCATTCCTGACCACTGGTCATACTGGCAGGACTGATGGGAGTTAGACTCTCTCCAGCATTTGGACTACCTGCCTGTTCATGGCCTAATGATTGCCCTTATCCTTCCCAGCAATCACCTGATTACTGGACTGCAATAATCAAGACTCCAACTACTGGAAACCCGAGCTGGTACAGCTGGTGGAGAAGGTTTTTGGGAACCATAGTTCAAGAACATTTAGGTTATCCAAGGTAACTTATATACTGTATATCATTGAAGTTTCTAAGGGCAGAGATATACATTCAGGGGCCAGTGGAGCCATATGGCAGCCTTAAAGCTATAGCTCCTTCAGACTCTTTTTAAAAGTTCCAAATACTCTTTTGTTATGTAGAAAGGTAACATTTCAGGAATAAAGTTTCTAGGGCAGTTGTATTAAAGCTAGTTTTCTGCATACAGGAGATATTTTTCTTTAATGGAAAGAACAAGGTATAGTCCAGAGGCAGACATGATGTGACCCCAGAACTTTTAAGAAGGATAGAATATGTGCTCCTCTCAAAAGGTCTGGATTAGTTCCAGTCTGTTACTTGGAAGGGCTTGATTTCCTCTCTGCTCCACCTCTTTCTGGCATTAGCTTCCCACCCTCAGAATGCTCAGGGTGAATTCATTCCAGTGGTTTCTTAAAAGATTAGCATATATGACAGCTCTAAGCACAAGAAGACCTTGTTGTCTGTACAAAAACCAATCCTGCATTTCCACATATGTTCCAGGAATTATAAAATCAACCTCCCATACATCCTGAAGCTATAAACAACAACTTCTCCACATACTCTGAGCTGCTACATCAAGTACGTTTCAGCAGATCGTATGTTTCAGGTAAATCTGCCCTATGGAAGCTACATTAAAGCTCCAACATATATATAATTTCCCAGGAGTCAGCCTCATTGAACTCAACCTGGCTTTCATACAAGCAGACATACATAGGAGACTGCACTGTAAAAGACATCTTTTCAGATGCATTCAAATCCATTGACAATATATCCAAAGGATGTGACAATCGGACATTAAAACATGATCACCAAGCTGCCTAAGACTAGTAAACATGGTGAAATTTTACAACTGTAGATTTACAAATTTACAAAAGAGTGGTGTCATTCTCTCTTTTATGGCTCAAGACTCAGGAAGCGTGTGAAAACATACACTTGGAGGCTAGAACATTTACTTTTTAAACTACAACTCCCAGAATCCTTTAGATATCATGTTCTCATGATATCTTTTCCAACTTCTACACAAACCTCAGTTCACAGGACTGAATGGTCTTGTAGCAAATATTGGCAAAGACTATAAAGAATAGCAGAGGAGCTGACATCCCAGCCCAATGTACAAGCACATCAGGTATGCGGTGAGCCGGAGCACCTCCGTCTGTGGAAGCCACACTGATAATCAAATGCCACAGCTTTTTGGAAAAGTGTGTGAACTGGCCATGCATCTCATGTTAAACATTTAGAGCATCTCACTTAGCAGCACTGGGGTAGTCCTGTACCTAGGCTTATGGTAAGCCTCTGCCCATCAAACTAGAGAAAATGAGGTGGGCCAATAGTCTGGCCCAATATGAAGCAGCTTGGTGCATAGTTCTAGGCGTGAACCCTACCAACTTAGCTAATCTTAGTCAAAACCTCAAGATCCTCATATATTCATTCAGTTCATTTAAACCAAGATGAGCCATCTCCCTGAGGCACGCCCATCACACACCTCCAAAACAGGTGTTAAAAACCCACACCTATTGTTATAGGGGAAAGGAAGTGGGGGGGGTTTGCTATTTTTCAGGTTTGCTGTGCCAGGATCAGATAGCAAAACTTTACCCCCACTTTGAAGTTCTCCACCTCTGACTTAAAAATGGTGCTTTGAGAGTCTTCCCATCTTGAAGCATTTCTAAACCTTTATGTCCAAGGACATTTCCTATCAAGGCTTGCATTACCCAATAAGAAAACAACTCCAAATGAAATGCAGTGAGGAAGGGTAGACAGCTTGTGAGCAGGAGCAAATAAAGTCCAGTGATTGGGGATAGTGAGAGGGGATAAGGCTCTGAGGTAGGGATGTTCGACATTACCACTGTGCTGAAGTCCATCTGTCACTGCATTGCTTTGTCTCAGACAGGCAGCTATTTACATGGAAATTTGCAGTGGAATCTTGTTAGTATCCAAGAAGATGATGCTTTTCCTCCTCTAACAAGGTAGACAGACTTTCCAAAGGCATCAAAACGTAGACAAAAGAAGAGGTCAATGTACCTCCCAGATGCTCTCTGGAGTAATAATAATCCTTCAGCTGTTCCATCCACAGTCTACCAGCTCTTGAGACTTCCTTCCACCTCCTTTGTTGGTCTTTAACTTCCATTCTTTCTGCTAAGAGACATTTTTGCCACTGCAGTATTGCTTGCTTTGTCTTCCAGGTGCTCTTCTCCCAAAGAAGGACCTGCTATTGTGTCTTGGAGACACTAGCAACTTTCTGGCAACACAGCACCTGCAAGAGCAAGATCCCTACAATCAAAAGAGGAAGAAATAATCAGCAATTCATACAAAATACAAACACACACATACAGAGTTCTTTTCTATATCTGTAAAACTATGTTGGAAAAGCTTCAGAAACAAGGTAAGAAAGACATAGCATTAAAATGCCCTCAGTAATTTGCATTCTTTCGTTATTTACTGATGATAATTAGCATTTAGATAATCAGAATCTTCTGTTTGTACTTTGCTGAGCAGCTAGAATAGTGATTGCAACTAACTGGAAAACAGGTAATAATCTTTCAATATCTGGATGGTCAAAAAAAAGTATGGCATCTAGCTCTTATGGAAAAATTAACATCACAAGTAGGAAGTATGTACGAATCACTCAGTATACAATTCAAACAACATCCCTAATGTGTGGTGTCCTTTTATTGTGTGTATGTGTGTGTGTGTGTACACACACTCAGTAGGCTATTGGGTAGGCTGTTATAATAACAACAATAGTCAATAGCCTATCCAAAAACTCATATTTTGGTCCTCTTTTAGGAGACATAATAAAGAAGTAACATTAATTTGGACTTGGGAGTTTTGTTTTTCTTATGACCAAACACAGACAACATTCTCAAAGGCTTTCATGACCATGATCTGAAGGTTGTTTTGGGCCAGATAACATTGTTTTTGTCTTAATTTTGAAGGTTGTTTTGGGCCAAAGAGCCCGAAAAACCTGCAAGAACCAACAGATAACATTGTTTTTGTCTTAATTTTGAATTGACAGTAAAATATTAAGAGATTTGGACCTATTCTTCCTTGTCCTTCCAGATATATGAAAGGTACCTAAACCACTGAACTATCCAGCAGTTAATATATGCAGCAAAGCAAAGCAAAGTGTGCTGCTTATATACTGCCCCATAGCGCTTCAAGCACTCTCTGGGCGGTTTACAATTTAATTATGCAGGCTACACATTGCCCCCCCCCCAGCGAGCTGGGTACTCATTTTACCGACCTCGGAAGGATAGAAGGCTGAGTCAACCTTGAGCCGCTACCTGAGATTTAACCCCTAGTCGTGAGCACAGTTTTGGCTGTAGTACAGTGATTTAACCACTGCGCCACGAGGCTCTACCATCTAACTTGCAAATGAAGCCCATATCTACTTTCCAATGACCAATCAGAGAACAAAGCAAAGCACACTAAGAGCAAGATAGAAGAATCACATCCTCTGACAAGCAAACTCCTTTCATCATTTAAGGGTGCACTTTTCTAAAGCTGTTAAATATAACATCTAGTTTGACCCTTTGCATGCAAAAATACCAACACGCTTGCATTGGAGGACCTTTACCCAAGAATTTTCAGTTCAGCTTGTAGATTTTGGTGATGTGGCTCTGGAGGAGCTTCAGCAGCAGCCCTGCGTTTGTGGGCAGCCTTCGATTCCTGAGATCCCTGGTAAAAAGACGCAAGACAACATGAGAAACCAGATGTCAATAGCTGTCTATCTGAGGCAAAGCAATGCAGTAAGTCTAAGGGAGCACAGAAAATTATAAAGAAAATACCAGCATTTCAGAACCTTATGTTTCTCATGGCTTCTGGGACTGCCACTTCTAAGGTGGCCCTCTCCAAATGTGTCGGACAACAACTCACATTGTATCCAGCATACCAGCTGTGGAGAGTGGGTTTTTGTTGTCCAGCATGTCTACAGAGTGCCCAGATGGGTAGGTTCTGCTGTGACACAGCTACACCAGTTAAAGTTTCTCTGATTGGTCCTTGGGGTTGGGGCTTTAATTGAAAGGATTGCCTTGTTTATGGAACCATTTATGACGGAAAGGTTTTCAAAGAATCCAGTTAAATGACAATGACCTGATTTCCCTCCATGAGACAAGCAAATCCTTACCTTATGCAACCATCCTGTTTATGGTTTTAGGGCCTCAGAGGAATGTCTTTATTGCATAGAAGTACAGAATTTGGTGTTTAAAACTCAGTTTGTAGGGATGCAAATACTTGCTTGACTTGTTTTCAGGCACACAAACAAGAAACTGCTCCCACCCACTCCGAAAAACCTCTTCTCTGGTGTGATGGCAAGCCATTTTCTCGTCAGAATTGATGAGAATTTTGTAACATGCAAGAATGACTTTTGTCCAAATTGGGCAAATTATATTTGTTGCACAAAACTGGAGTAACCACGAGATTGTTGCATGGACTTCTATATACTGGAAGCATTGGATGGCTTGTTTGCTTCTTTTTGATCCATCAGCCAATCCTTCTGTGTGTATGCTTTACTTTGCAAAGAGACAAGACACTAGTTTTGTGCAGAGATGTCTTGCACAAATTACAGAGACCTTAAAGGTGTGTGTGGAATGTGTCTTTGGTCTTATTCATATGCGAGAGACAAGAAAATTCATGGGGTCTGCAATTTCTCAGCAGGCAATCCTGGCATGTTTAGATAGTCTCTCCATGTGAGAATTGAGCCATTTTGCACAGTTTCTTCACTTCTCTAGCTTCTCCTTTTATAAAGAGAACAGTTCTGGATCTTGTCATTGATGATCCTGTAATAATAATAACCACAGAGCTGGAAGGGACCTTAGGGATCATTGAATCCAGCCCCTGTCAGGGAGGCACAGTGGGGAAGCAAACTCCCAACCTCTCACTCTGCAACCAGATACCTAAGCTGTGCATCTACCCTACAGTTTCTTCTGTGCTCAGTAGTGTGTTTAGCACATGTTGTCCATTATACCTAGAGTCCCTCCACCAGGAGCATCAGCCCCACCTTCACCACCAAGAACCACGAGGAGATGGTCTTGTTTGTGTGAGGTATATCAAAGTGGATAACTTGGGCAGCCGCATATTTGCTCCCAGGACCCGTGAGCCCAGTAACATTTGAATATATGTGGATGTTTATTTCTGAGTTTGACTTTTAAAAAAATATCAGGAAGATTCAGCATTGAAAGAATCCCTCCAACCGATTTAACATGAACATTATTGCTCTTAGCATTCCCTTAGGAGAAAATTTTCTCAAAAATTGAATCCCTTTGTGGAGACCTATAAGCCATATAAAAGGACTCAGAAAAATGCATGCTACACTTTGTTTGCCCCCTGAACTACATGCAAATACCTACCAATGCTTGCCTTGGCAGAAGGTGATACAAATGCTGTCCTTTCCATATGAGCATTCACACCGGCTGAGAGATCGTTTCTGCCGCTTTTGTGGATTTCCTAAGCCATATGGTGTGGCGTGGCTGACAGACAAGAAAACAGGGAGAAAAAGGAATTAAATTTCTATACCCAGTTAAAAGGGGGGTTTATGATGCAGACATAGCTGGGGACCAAACCAGCTTGACAACAACAAGGCTTGTTCACAGTTGCATGGTAGAATAGCTATCTACTCATTCAAGATAAGGACAAGAAATAATCCCATTATCTTCTCATCCTTTACACTGCCTTTTTATATATCTGCTCCTTGCCAACCTAGCAGTTCGAAAGCATGTAAATGCGGATAGATAAATAGGCACCATCTCGGTGGGAAGGTAAAATGGCGTTCCCTAGTCACACTGGCCACGTGACAACGGAAACGGTCTTCGGACAGGCACTGGCTCTATGGCTTAAAAAGCGGGATGAGCGCCGCCCCCTAGAGTCGGACACGACTGGACTAAAAATGTCAAGGGGAACTTTTACCTTTACCTTTTTCCATAGATAAGCAGTGAGAAGAAATGGGCTCATTGCTTTGTATCAATAACACCAAGAAATGGTAATGATCCCTGTCATGATGATGGGATATGTAGTCAGAGAAATGTAAAATGGAGTCAGACAGGTTCTGTGTGAAGATGATTTGAGCGACACTGGAATGTGCTTTTCTAAGCATCACGAGAGTGTTTTGCTGAAGACCGTTACATCCTAGTTCAAGATAGCATGAATGTGGTTAACTGAATGTGGTTCAATGGATTCTATTCTGTTCTGATCTGGATTCCACAAACTAGCTGTCATTTAAGAGTCCTACCTAACTGAGCTTTAGTGAGTTCTAAGGAATCACAAAGCCCATGTGTCTATACTTGCAAAGTACTGAGTAGAGTAACGTTGTTCTTTTAAGGTCAGGCTTATTCTAGGCGCAAAGGATACGCACTGCTGGAGGTTGAGGACTTGCCCCAGCGTAAGTAAATGGCCTGTTGAACTCTCTGACCGAATGCCAGCAGCCCTTTAGGGGGTCCCATGCCTCACAATCCTTTTCCTTCTTTTCCTAGCCAATGTAGAAATGAGGAAACAACCAGTGGGCTGGAAGGGTTGGAGAGAAAGCCCCGTGGACCTCCAGATCTTGTTGGCTTTCTTGTTGACAAATTGCTCGAGCCACTGCTGAGCCAAATCTTCAGCAGTGCTGCTCGCCTTTGCCTCCCTCCCTGGATAACGCGAGACCCTAGGTCTCATGAGAGCAGTTGGGCGAGAGGGGGGAATGCTAGGTTATTTAAGGAATGCTCCCCTCCTCTCTACTTTCTTCCTTTTCTGGCACCCGCCTGCCCGCCCTATATTCTAGTGTGAGTTTTCTGGTCGCCTCTCAGGCTGGATAGGAATTTTTGACCCGCATCCTGATTGGCTCTTGGATGCAGGGATTTTTCACCTGTCCCATACAGAAACTGGGCGCTGGCATTTTATGAGGTGGAAGCTTGGTCACACTGGTGGGTAGTGCACATAAAACAGTTTTTTTTTCTGGTGAGTCCCATTGCAATCTCGGGTAAGCTAACAGCCCATCGGACCTCCCAGCGCTGCGGATCATGTGATTACAGTGCTTGGGCCACTACCGGACCAACAGTCAACAAGTAAAAGATGGCTTGAGGTCCAGGGGTGGTCAAATTGTGGCCGGCTGGGTTCTCACTGTCTTTAAGACCACGAGAACTTGGGGCCAAGGACTTACCCATTTGTTGGTTAAGGGGTACTTTGGGACCCCTGCGATTTAACCTGATTCTGCACTACAGTAGGTCCCCCTTTGCCAAAGGATGGCAACATTGAATTATGATCAATAAAGTGTGACCCGTGTTTTAACCAATGATACTTGTCTCGCATCTTTATTCCAGAGTGGGGAAGGTAAACAGCATCAGGAGATCACCTTTGATAACTCTGAGGTTCTTCCAACTCAAGAGGGATATGCTTTTTTAAAAATCTGCGTAATTATTCAACATAGAGGTGCAAATCCTCGTTTTTCCTATCCACATAGGGAAAGATAATGAATTGTACTATTCTTCTTTTCACCTGCAGATACAGTGGCAAATGGAAGCTGCTTTTTAATTTAAGAATTGGAAGCACTAGAGAAGTTATTGATGTCTTTCTTAACAATCAGCCATTCCTTATATGCTTGCAGTGTGACTGTGTGTGTGTATGTTTTGCCTCTCAAAGGGGCAGGACACTTGGCACCATTTATGATCGAAGAAGGGGCAAAACAAACTCTTTGCTTGCTCTTAGTGGGGTGAGAAATCTTGTGGGACTTTTGAATTCCTCTTTTTATCTTGGCTTTCGAATTCCTCTTTTTATCTTGGCATGTCAAGAGAACCTGAATCATGGAGAAGAGACTTAGATTCCCCTCCTCCCCAATCCCCCTCCCTGTTCAAGACAACATATTTGAAGCATAATTAGAAGAACCACACCTGACCCATTCCTCTGTCTGGCCTAGATCTTGTACAAGTCTGTTTGTAAGCTGCCCGGCTGCTCCCTGCTGTATCATGCAAAGAAGCAAGTGCCTTCTCAATGAAAACCACAAGATTTCATGATCACCCCACCTTGGCATATTTAGAAAACACCAGTCAAGTAGCAAACTGCTATCTAAATCATTTTGAGTAGAAGGAGAATTGGGATCTACTGCTTGAACTCTTGCTATTTACAGTAGATCAACCAGGTTCTCATTACTGATTAACAGTAGTCAAAAGAAGGATTCTCTCTTATGCAATATCAGGCTGTTTAAAATGCACAAAAAGCAAGAGTGAGTTAATGGGGGCAGAAAGAAAACTGTGTCCCCAGCAATGCTTGTAGAAATTAATCACATTGAATAGTTTATTGCTTTGCAGCCTATCAGGCTACAAAGAACATAGATTAAACCAATCATAAAATAGTATTTGGCATCTCATGCAAGTACGTACAACAAGCATAAATGGCATAAAATGATAAAATGATAGTAATAAAATGTAACTGCATTCTCAAAAAAGAAAAGAAAGAATCAAGACATGAGAGTAACTTGAAGAACTTATGATGCAGGCATTAAGTTCCGCCTTTCCATGGCTCGTTTAACTAATTTAGCAGTCCTGTAGGAGATACAGTAGTTTGTGCCAGCCAGCAGGAATAGGACTGTGCATAGAGGGTAAGTGTTCTTGATCCCAGCCACTAAGGGCTTGAGACATTGGTCCCAATTCAGAGGACATTCTGTTAGAAAGTGTACTCCATTTTAGAGCATCCTTGCTGGGCAATGTCTGCCTGTACCATGTTGGTCCATGTAATGTCCCTGAAACTCCTGTACAGTGGTGTCTTGCAAGAAAAATTTAATTTGTTCCTCGGTTAATGTTGTCTTGTGAAAAATTCATCTTGCGAAACGTGTTTTCCCATAGGAACGCATTGAAATCTAATTAATGCATTCCTATGGGCAAAAAAAGTCAAATTTGGTTTACAAAGGGTTTATTAAGTACTCTTTAAAGCCATACATACTGTGTAGATGATTTTAGAAATGTAAATCAAAAAACTTTAACCTTTTTAAACATCATAGAAAAACATTTAAAAATCAGCAAACATGAGGCAGGAACGAAAAACGGAAAACATTTGTCTTGCGAAGCATGGCCATAGGGACATTCATCTTGTGAGTCATCAACCCCATCGCCAAAACCATTTGTCTTGCAAGTTTTTTGTCCTGCGAGGCATTTGTCCTGCAAGGCACCACTGTAATGAGTTCATTCTGCACCTAGTTAGCAGTTGCCTCAACTCATGTGAGTTAATAAGGGACAAAGAAGGGGAAAGCTTTCCAAAAGGCAAAGCAAAACCTTTGCATATTCTATTGGAGCAGCAACAGGTTACAGATGCCATGGTGGTCTGGAGATTAACATAATTTCCTCTTTTAATTATATCTTCTCGGGCAGCCTCATATTACCCTTCTATGGAGGTAGGCTGAGGAGTCACCCAGTTTTGCTATAATTGTGGCTATCTTAGACACCCAAGAGTCCCTCCCCCTTACTTCATAGGCCAAAGAGACTGGTGGTGATGCCATATGGTTGCACTATCTTGAGCCAGAAGAGCACAGCTGCTTGCTTAACAAGAGTACCCATGGAGTAGTAGCATGATGTCTCATAGCGGACTTGGTAGCCCTAGTGCTCTGGTAAAAAAATTGTGCTGGGCAGATTTCAGTTTTGTGATATTTGAAAAAGCTCACACTGGAGCTCTAGAGAGCACCTGGGGAAGGAGTTTATACAGTTGTATTAGTGGTGCCACTATTTTTCCACCTGGTCCAGAAGAAAATAGAGCAACTGGGGAAGGAGTCTATACCGTTGTATTAGCGGTGCCACTATTTTTCCACCTGGCCCAGAAGAAAAACAGTAAATAGTTCTGCCTCTGCTGACAGACCTGGAGATTCTAAGTGGCCTGACCATGTTTCTGAAGGTTTGAATGTTATTTCAAGGTATTTTTATGAGTCGATCTGTTCAAGCAGTTTCCTGTTTAGCGGCCATCTGTAATTCTTTCTCCATTTCCCAAAAACTACAATTTTGTGGGTTTGATGTCTTTTATCTGGATATGTTCTTTGACACAATGAAGACCTAAGGTCCTTGATACCACACTATTTGATGGTGCAGAAACAGTATAAAAAGTTAATTCACGAAAAGAAGCTTGAGTACACCACATAGCAGTGGGCTAATTTGGCACAGGCTCTTGAAAGTAATGACAGGTCTAAATAAGTTATTGCAGCTATAAAGTGCACCAACAAATACTGACCTAACAATCTCCACACATGAATAGGAGCTACGCTACTGCTCCCTGTTTTTTGATGAGTTCTGTACATCTTTACAAGCAGATGACCAAGCTTATAGAAATTAATTTTTTGAACTGCATTTCCCAAAATCCATGATCAGCATAGTTACTAGAGTTATAAGCCAAAAATGTAACTTTTACAAACTCTGGAACTCAGTTCTATTACTAGGGAGTGGGAGGGAGGCATCCTCTTCTTTCATGAACCCTAATCCCCACCCCCACCCATGATTTTGTCCCATCATTCTGGACCCTGGGGAAAAAATGTAGAGCCTGCTAGGGGTTAGGCTACTGATTCCTGACCTTGATGCTGGAGGAAATAATTGACATTAAAAAAACCCAAAATATGAAACAAAACAGAATACATTGAAGTACAATGGGCACGGAGTCTGTCTAGAGATAAGACAGAGACCCAGGAATGCTTTCTACTGTCATCAGAAAGAACCTCTTAAGAGACAATCATAATCATAATTCCAGGGGTTTGTAATGTGGTCATTTTTCTAAAGCTAACTAATTTTGTGTCTGGAGGACAATGCATGGAGGGGAGCTGGGAGACAACTTGGAAATCCTATGTGTATGGTCTTGAATTCTATGGTGGAAGAAAGGTGAATACATTTTATTGAAATGTATTCAATAAAACATACACATTGAATTATAGGACTTTCTCCTATTTACTATTGAAGGCTATGACCGACATCTACTGGAAATTTATCTTCCCTATGCACTTAAATGTTACTTTTGGAATTTCCCAGCCAACTCCTAGACCCTTGGAACTGTTTAAAAAAAGTATTTTTTTTCTAGACTCTGTACCTGTCTCAGAGCACCTTGGAAGAATAATGACCAAACAAACAAAATACAACATCCATTAGGGTGTGTGCAACTTTGTATCATTGTGCTTGAGTTATGCGTACCCCTAAATAAATAAAGGAACTCTTTCATTACAGCCAACTGTCCACTGCCAGTGATGTCACTCCCATAGCTATGCAACAGGCAGAGGCCATTATTCACACAAAAACAGATGGGTTGTAATTTCTGGGGGCCAATTCAACTGATAACACATCTGTGTATTTAGTGAAAGTCATAGCTGAAATCACATTCACAATGAAACCACATAACTCTTCTCAATATACTGTCATGTCTGAGAAATCAGGCTTACAAATGAACCCTGGGCACAGAATACCAATGGCAAAACAAAGCAAGCTAATTTTCAAACTCTGGAAGCACTCAGATGCTTTCAGCCCTTAAGGAATATCCTTTACTAATGCCATACGGTTTGTAATGTACAGTTGGATCCTTTCATGCCCATTGTAGCGGGCACTTGTTCAACTCACCCTGGTGTGTTGATCCAGATGATATCCAGGTGACAGAAATAAATGCACTCCTTATCTTCCCAGTTGATGCAAGAACATCGCTTTGTCCTCACATGCCTGCTGTTGGCTGCTGCCAGGTGGGATTCTGCTGGCAGATAGCCCAGACCTGTCCCGAAACAGACAAAAAACTGGATCAGTCATAAGCTTTAGCTTGGAAGTGCCAGAAGGAACGTGGCATGGTATGTAAACAGAACAATTAGCCTGCTGCCTATTCTTAGGGATATATCTATACTAACTCTTTTTTATAGCTGCTTCAGCTTTACTGGTTAACGTTGCTAATTCATCACAGTTGTTGTACTGGGCGTGACACGTGTGTAACTTGCAGATAACAGCAATTTCTGCAGACTTCAGCTTTGTTGTGGTTATGCACTGTGGAACCAATTTATAGTGACCCTAACAGAAGTTTCAAGCTAAGTGAGAGATTTAAGGAATAGTTTTACCGGTTCCATGTCCCCGGTGAGTTCCCCCAGTGAGTTCCATGGCTGAGCAGGGATTTGAACCCAAGCCTCCAGAGTCTTGGTTTGTCACTCTATCTACAACACCCCACTGGGCATCTAGACTTCAGACTTCAGCTAGGAGCCTGAAAAGACAACAGGGGCCACAGCTAGAATCATCCCTCAAATGCACTCTCTGCCCTTGTTTCCAGCACCTCACCATTTGCTGAGCAGAGTGGCAGGCTGATGGACTGGCAAACAAACAGCCTCTCTCACCTGGTCCCTGCTTAAAGTGGATGGATAAAGGTGAGCACAGTTCTTGATATCAGTGTCACATTTACTTCTTGTTGTTGTTTTAAGGAAACAGCCCAAGAATGCACCTGAATTTTGGAGAGACTGAATGTTCCTGCTCCCCGAGGCTGGAGAACCTTCAAATATTGTCAGACTGCAGTTTCCACCAGCACCATGCAGTTTGGCCATGGGGGGGGGGATCATGAGATGAGTAATCCATCAAGATCCGGAGGGCCACTGGTTTACCAGACCTGCCTATGCAGTCATCACTTACTCTATTTTCTTTTACTTCTTTCCTCCTATCCTTTCACTCATCCCCCCCCCAATTTTTTTGGACAAGTAAGAGAGACAGAGAAATACATGTGTACACACAGACACGCATACACACACACACACACAAACACAATCTCTTTGTAAGAAAGGAATATGGGAACTGTGATTATTGTTATTCTTGCTATGCCCTTACTTGGCAGAGTCAGAAATGAAATGCCCACTTTGATGGGCAGAGGCATGCCGGCCATCCCTCCCTGCAAGGGGTGACAGGTCTGCGTGGCTGCCCCCCCCCGGCTCTCTCCATGCCCACTTGCTGGGATGCAGAAAGGAAGGGTGTGTGGCTCAAATGGAGGCAGAAGCAAACCAGGGTGCGGTGGGGGTTACTGAGTGCCAGATTTGGAAATCTGCACTGACAAGAAAAAAAAAGATATCCATTTCAAAAGTGGTGCTGCAAGAGATCTTTGTGGCTATCCTTGATGGACAGAAAGAGGAACAGGAGCCTGAATCAAGCCTGAACTACCTCTGGAGGCTAAAATGTTGAAATTGAGGCGATTCCAAGTTGGGCACATCTCTGGGAAATACAATCACGCTGGGAAAGGTGGAAATTGTCAGGAGAAGAGGAAGACCAGATGCAAGATGGACTGACTCCCTTAAGGAAGCCAAAGGCTTGAGTCTGCAAGAGCTTGAAGACAGGGCAGTTTTTGAGATTGCCCATTTATAGGGTCACCATAAGTTGGAGACGACGTGACGGCACATATCAGCAGCAAGAACATTTCACATTAGCTACCCCGAGGGTTGCATTTACAAACCGAAGGGCAAAAAGAACGGCCCATGGAAGTCACATTTTTGGGCTACAACTCCCCACATCCCTGTGGGTTCTAGGAGATGCCAGGTAAAGAAGCAGCATGTCCAAGCAGGAGAGCGATGCATGCTTCCAAGCACGGGCACGTGGAAAAGAAACCCATCGCAGCTGGGGCGAGTCTCTTACCTTCTTCCAGCAGGACGCAGAGGGCGATGGCAACGGAAAAGAAGGAGGACGGGTTGTTGACCATCGTGGCGGGCGCGATCCCTTAACCGGCTGGGAAGCTGGGCTCGCCCGCAATCTTTGCTTTTCCCTCTCTCTCTCTCTCTCTCTCGCTCTCTGTGTCTCCGCAGCTGCCCAGCGGGAGTCGGCCTCTGGAGCTGCCAGCGCTCGGCGGCAGGTGCTTTATAACCCCGCCGCTTGCCCGGCGCGTCACGGCCCGCCTCGCCCTCCCTCCCTCCCTCCCTCCCTTCGGCCGCAACCCGGTGCCCACTCGGCTCCGGGAGGGCCCGCCGGGCCAGGCGGCGGCAGGAGGAGGCGGAGGAGGGGGGCAGCGTGAGCGGGGCCACGGCGACAGGTGGGACCGCTCGGGAGCCCCCGGGCTCAGACTTCTTCTCGACTTGCCCCTGGCAGGGGACCATCGTGTCCTTTTGCGCTGCCTACAAGCTGGAGAGAGGCACCAAGACGCTGAATCCCGTTGGCTTCCCAATAAACGCTGCCGGCTCGGTCGGATGGAGCAAAGAGAGACGAAAGAGGTGACCCCCAAGGCTTAGGAGGAGGACAGCCCAGAGAGCTGGTGGGGGGCAGTGGTTAGAGCGGACTTTGGAAAAAGTTCCTCTGGGGAAGTGTAGAACTCCTAGGATCCCCAGCCTCTACCGCGCGAAGCAAATCCATGCTTTGGGAACCTCCTACCAGCTCTTTAGATGTGATGGGTATTAATCAACCCAGCCGACATGGCCAATAATAAGAATCACGCGCGGCCAAATCCATTCTGACCAATGGCAACCCTTTTTTTCCAAGGGTTTTCCAGGTAGAGAATACTCAAAAGTGGTCCACCATTCCCTGCTTCTGGGGGCGCCCTGGGACTGTGCAGCACGACACAGATTGCTTCTACTCGCAGGAGGCGCAGGAGGGAATCAGACTCCCAACCTCTGGCTTTCAATACAGATTGGTTCTACTCGCAGGAGGGAATCAGACTCCCAACCTCTGGCTCTGCAGCCAGATATCCACATCACTGAGCTATCTAGGGATGGTCAGTAGCTAGGGACAATGGGAGGGAGGCTTGAGTGCCCCACCTCAGTTGGGCAAGGCTGAATTAGAGGGTTGATCTCAGATGGGGAAGGCTCTGGGGTGAATTTGTATTTCTCCATGAAGTTTGCTGGCTGACTTGCATCCCTCTCTGCCTCTCAGCCCAGCCTGCCTGCTGGGGTTGTTGTGAAGCTATAACAGGTTTCAGAATGGAGAGAGACCATACATGCCACTGCGACTTTTTGGGAGAATAAATAATAAACAAAGCGATACCCAAAGTGATACAAAGTGATTTGAACTCATGGTCATGGCATTCCATACCATTCAAGACTCTGCTTCGGTCCAAATTGTTCATCTTTCTGTTTTTTTCTTTTCTTTCCAGTATGGCTTAGATGAGAGAAGAGATTAGAGAAGGGGCAAAATTGGGATGGTCGCCTTACCTTTCAAAAGAACCAAGACATGGTGTTTGGGGTTTAATCACTTCCCAATCCCCCCCACCCCAAAATTTGATCACTGGCTTTGGCTTGGAAAAGTTGCACAACTAGCTCAACTTCTTTATTTCTTTTTTAATGCATGGGTTACCCTATTTTTCCATGAAGGTGCTCAATGTGACATGCATAGGTGTCCTCCCCTCTCTGCTTCATCCCCTGAACAACCCTACCAAAAATCAAAGTATGACCTCCTACTCCAGCTGGAAACAAATACAATATTGCATCACCCTGGCTGCTTAGATGCACTGAAGTCAGGGAGCCACTAGCACTGAAAGGTGGCTAGTTACTGAAAGAGAGCAGATGACACCCAGTCAATCAATATGGTTTCTTTTCTTCAGAGCTTGGCCAGCCCAGCTGGAGCATTCTTGCACTCATCATCCAAAAACATAGAGAGAGCGCCGTGCGATCCATTACACAATAAAAGTTCAGAAGGGGTGATATTAGACAACTAAAATCAAACATTCAGTCCAAGCTTTTGTGATTTAAAAAATCACTTCTTCAGGCATGCATCAAAATCTTATGCACAGTGCAGAAAAATTATAAATAAATGTCCCAAAATATCATGGCATAAAGGTCTGCTAAGCATATAGTGTGGTTAAATGATTCTTCTAAATTCTAGATTCGTTTTATTTCTATGGATCTCTGAGATGATTCATTTCAGTACATAAAACTTGTTTATCCTTAAGGTGCCACAAGATTTTGCTGTTTTTGCTGTAACACACTAAACATAGATAACCCACCCTCCTTCCAGGGAAATGCATCTTGAATTTCAAATGTGGTTTCTTCACTTCTCCCTAAATGGGTACAGCAGACCGGGGGGAGGAGAGATTTGATTCAGTAAATTGGTATACACTGGCAAAGTTAAAAGTTTTTATTTTTATTTTATTTATTTAAAATATTTTTACCCCACCATTCTCCTTAAAAATGACTCGAGGCAGCTTACATCATCAAAAGACAATGTTAAATTTAACAACAGTGGATATGCAAATACTAAAAAGGATCAAACAAATACCATACTAAAAAAAAACATAAGTAACACCAAAATACATTTAATGCAGTAGGGTACAACAAAGTCTATTTAAAAAACCCCTCTTGGCAGCCATTCACTCAGAGAAAGCTTGCTTAAAGAGAAAGGTCTCTGCCAGCTTGCAGAAGGAGAGCAAAGATGGGGCCAGCCTGCCCTTCTGTGGGAAGGAGTTCCAAAGTCTGGAGCAGCTACAGAGGAGGCCCTCTCCCCATTGCACCTGGGAAGACGGTAGGACCAAGAGAAAGTCCTCTCCTGATGATCATAACACTCGAGCAGGCTCGTACAGGGAGATGCAGTCCTTAAGATAGTTTGAGCCCAAGCTGTTCAGGGTTTTATAGGTGAAAAACAGCATTTCAAACTGTGCCTGGAACCAGACTGGCAGCCAGTGGAGCTGTTGTAACAGGGGGACTATGTGACCCTTGTAATCTGCCCCAGTTAAGCAGTCTGGCTGCTGAAGTTTCCTGACACTTTCCATGGGCAGCCCAACACAGAGTGGGTTAAAATAACCCAGTTGGGAAGTAACAAAGATGTGTGTGTGTTGTAGTGGCAAAATCAGACATCTCCAGGGATGGGCACAGCTGGCACACTAGTTTTAATTGTGCACTCTTAGCCTTTGCACAATTGGAAAAGTTACTGTTTCAAGTCTTTGAGGGGAAGCAGCATCAGTTGATGGGGTTCAGAAATGTGTGCATCCGGATGCTGGTGCATCATGTCGTGGTACTTGGCTTCCCATAGTCAATTGGTTGGCCCCTGTCAAGCCAGAATGTTGCACTACATGGTCCTTTTGTCTAATCTTTGTCATCATTTTTGATCTCACCTAGCTGGGCTGTTCTGATGTTCTGATCACTCAGTGGCCCTTCCACCTCCATGAGTCTTTGTCTCATTTGGGCCACTAGAGGTCGCCCCTGCACCTTTCAAAGACAACTGGACTGATAATTTCTCCTCACCTATTACCCTTGCAACAGCTCTGCAAGGTAGAGGCAGCTAAGAAATGGTAGCTGGCCTAAGATCATCAACTAAGCTTCATGGATAAGTTGGGATTTGGGGAATGAAATTCTTCCAAACCCTTATCTGATATCCCAGCCACCATCATCACTCCTGGTTATGCTTGCAAGCACAGGTACTGCCCTGTGATTATCATTGCAAGGCTACAGCCAATGCCTCATCAGCCGAGTGAATTAACCTTCCAAGACTGTGGCAGCCCAGCCCTGTGCCCATTCACACATTCAACCAGTGGAGTTCAAAGACCTCGAGACAGAGGCACTAAGGCGAGGAACTCCAGATGAGCCACAATACCCAGATACTCAACTTTCTTGAAGATGCACACAGATCTCCAGCCCTTGTAGAAGCCAACATATGAGGCAAGACATACTCTAGTCGGCCCACTGTGACAGTCTCCCCTTTGAGATCTATCGGAAATGGTAGACAAGGTCTCAGGTGGTATTTGGTTTGATTTTGCCTTTTGTCACCTAATAGACATCCAAGGTGGTGTACTAAAATTGATAAAATGAACAATTAATTAAAACACATTGATTAAGATTTAAAATTATAATATATACAAATTTAAAACATTACCTTTAAAATTTAATATCTGCATTTATTTACTATTTAAAGGCTGGTATCCCGGTGGCAGAGCTGTGTCGCAGAATTCCGATGACATCACATTACACCACAGTGATGCAGCAACTGTCAGGATCAGCTTTGAGTTGGACTCCTGCACGGAAGGAAGAGGTTGGACTTGATGGTCTTATAGGGCTCTTCCAACTTAATTATTCTAAAATTCCCCAGGTTCTGGGAATCTCTAGGGATCCCTGTCATCCTGGGAAAGCTTTCTGGTCACTGCATCCTTCTATGACCCAGATAGCACTTGTTGCCCATTCCTGCTCAAGAAGATCTGTCTGTAGGGTGTACAAGAGATTCAATGAGACTCCATACAATGAGAGGCCCTGCTCCTGCGATCTGGATGGGGTGGAGTCACTCTCTTACATGATTTTGTATTGTCTATTCTATATGGATATCTGCAGAAAATATTTAGACCTGTTTTTGTTAAAGAAGAGGGGATGTTTGGATTGTGACACACTGAGGTATATTTTGTCAGCAGGAGAGTCAGTTATAGTGGAGAACATGGCAGCCTTTTTGAACCAGATAGTGAGGAGTCACAGATTGAAACGTCATGAATTTGAAGATCCAGTTAATTAATAGTTTGTTATCTTCTAAATGTCATTTTTGTGTGTGTATGCCAATAAAGGCTCTGACTGACTAGCTTAAAGAAAGATTTTTTCCCAAGTTCTGCAGCAGAATGAGGCCACCTTTTCAAGCAGCATATTTTGGGACACCTGAAAGGAGATGGTTAGTTATTTAATCAGTACTTAATTAATATGTATCTTATATATTTTTAATTGCCGTTGAGGGAAATAAGTGTTTGTGGCATTTGTTTGATCAAAGTGCCCCAATGTTTTCAGCGCTAAGCCTCTTACGTTCAGAGTTCAAGGGGAGAATTTGCTATTTTGCCTCAGGTAGCAAATTGTCTTGGG